TAAATGCATTGTTTTGCCCATGGTATGCCTTTCTAATCACACCAACCTCCGACGACTACGTAATCAACTCGTATGATATCATCGCCATAGGCATCGCCGTCGTAGCTTCTCGCACAAACTTTCACATCTTCGGTGGACGTGTACTGTAATCAAGACGGGAAGAAGAATATGCAGCATGCTAGTGTGTGTGTAGTAGTGTAACTACTTTTTTAAACAGTTTTACTCTTATTGTCTGCAAATGATACACGGTTTCAGTCAAATTTAACAAGAGAATCTTTATCAAAGGCGTTACAACACTGATAACTCACCTCGACCCATGCTGTCATGGCATTACACTGAGGTCGAGAGACACCTGAGTAGTTACTCATGTAACCCTGTTTGGGCGTCACTACCACAACCGGAGGGGCATAAAATCGATCGGTAAAGTTTATAGTCTGAAATATAAACATTTAAGTCTGTTAATAAAATTATGTTGCATTGTGTGACATCTAAAGTCAGGATCAGTTGGGCGATACCTTGGAAAAAACAAAAAAAAAACAACAAAATAAACAAACAGTTCCCATAAACACCCCTGGATTAAACTCTGCGCTCTTGCAACCCTGGAATGTATGCATCTAACCCTATTTGCCATCGATGTGCGAGTAGGCCGCCATCAGGATGCGTATTTCTGCATTGTTTTCAAAAGATCTGTTGAGCAATCTCAGAAAAATCGTACTGTTTCTGCACCTGCCCCAAAGGTCTTGTTGACAAACTATGCGGGATACTTCCAATTTGACAAGAAAAAACAAAGGTCAACGAGTTCGTGTTTGGGTCACACGAATACAGACCTGGAATTAAATATGTTGTTTTTTTTTCTAAGCGGTGCTATAGTGTGGGCATTTTCAAATATTAAGCAAAAAAATAATAATTATGGTAGTTTTGATAATAATGATTACAATAATAATGAAAATAACGAAACAAAAAACAGTTATTGCTAGTGAATTTTTCAATGTCCATCCCAGCGTTACTGTTCAAGATATTTCTGTTTATTTGCTAATTAAAACCTTACTTGGCAATAAGCGTAGTTATCGTGGTGTTTTTCTAAGCTTGCATTATGAAGCAACACACTCTTTGAAAAGGTGACGTTCTCAATCTTCAGAGTAGTAAATGCCATCCAGTTCTATGAAATTTTAGTTCAAGTGAAAAAATTGTAAAAAAAAGGTGTGATAAGTGACAAAGAAATATATATGATAAAATATTGATAATCAAGTCGATAAGTTGATCAAATGATGAATGCAACAATAAATGGATAAACAATCCAAACGAATCAAGCCATCAGTCATTCAATTGATCACGCAATAACATTCATTCCTCCAACCACCCATACCGTCCATACGAAGACTCGAAAAAAAAATTTACTTGAGGAATTGAAAGAAAAACTTCAATCATTCACTTACTATTTTGATGCTCTTGTGTGTTCCATCGAAAAGCTTGGTTTCTTTGAGACAGACTTTGAAATTGTCCTTCTTCAAGTCCTCTACCCATAAGGCCATAGCATCCTGAGGTCTGCTTAAAATCTCGTGACTGACAGCAACTAAAATGGTTGGTGAGGTCTTGAAACGCTGAAAATTGTGAAATGCAGTATTAGACATCTTTACCTGTAAAGGTGTATCTGATAAATGTAAGGATTTTAACTGCCAGTCATAATACAGACTAGAAATAAGTTAATTATTGACATAAAAAGGGTCACGACTTAAAAGGTCAAATTAAGGTAATTTTTCGCAAATACATTAAATCCCTTTGAGGAAACCCACATCTTTGAAAAAGATTCGAACCTTGTGCCTTTCGATAAACTGCACTCGAACTCCAAAATTAAAAAAAGATCGTTGATATTGGAAATGCGTCCTTCAAACGTTGTAAATATTTCGGAGGATTGGGATTTAAGACGAAGAGAAGGAAAGGTGATCAGCCCAAGTCTAGCTTTTTTTTTAACGGAAAAAAAAAAGCAACATTCATTTGTCACAATTGCCGAAGGCAAGTAGATCTAAGAATTCAAACCTGTTTAAATTTGATTGTCGTACACTTTTTTCCGGTGGTCCAAGCATTCAAGTGGACGGTTTCTGATTGAGTTCCTAGCGGCACGGACTGTAAGGCCAACCAGTTGATTTCTGAAGTACTGTTCGATCCGTCTCCAAATTCTAACACACAGGCCGTAAATCCGCTCGTTGAAACAGACTCCACCCAGACAGCTCCACCATAACGATGACCTGGACCTCCTATATTATGTCCAAATGAGGCGAAAATCTTGACTTGCTGTTTACCATGGAAGGGATGCTGAAAGTAAATCTTCTTGCAACCAAATAAGCCTGGTGTGTTGGTTGTCACGTTATCCTTTCCAGCTTTTATACTTGGTGCTGTCAAAAATTAAAGATAAACAACAAATTTATTCTCTCGTTTGTCGTGCCATTGAAACAAATGCACAACTCGTGCCGTATAGCACGTATGTACGGGACTGTACAACTCGAGAAAATACTCAGCGATACTACACACCGAAACTTCTAATGAGTTATTTATTATCCAACTGCTTTTTTTTCTGTCAAGTCTCTCTGCTCATTTTTCATAAGGCGGGAAAAGCAAAGCGAATAGAGACGCGTACCGCGCACAGCCTACTGGTTAAAAGGTTTTTTTACAGGACAAAGTAACCATCTAGCCAAATAACAATTCAATATCGCATGATGTTTTACTCTATTTGCACGTTATTTGTACTCTACTTTGTGCAGTCGGATAATAAAGCTTTTTGTAGACGTAAATTGACCACGATGGAATCCTATTAGAATGTAATCTTATAGTTCCACTTTGATCTCTGTCATTCTTGTTCGTTTACGCTTGGCATTGAATCACGTAACTAAACGTTTATCGTGCCATTAAAAATTTGTTACAAGCGTCAAGAGCTTTTGTTATTTTCGGTAGCAAAAGATCCCATTGTTAGGGTTGATCATGAGCGAGCGTTTCAATCTCAATCAATCAAACTTTCTCAGGGTTAGTACGGATTTTATGATATCGAATCAACCTCATCATTAATGTGCGCGGTACTTGAAAGAAAAACTTCCTTAGCATTACAAGGTTTTTGATCAGGCTTTTCAAAAATATCTGATAGAGGCAAAAACTAATCAGTGAAATAAAAAAGAAAAATAAAACCGTTCCTGTTAAAAGGTGAGATTCAATCTCACAATGGCTTTGAACTTACCACCGGACACCAGATTTATCTTCAGGCAAACGAACAAAACG